GACCACCCAGGATGGACCTCCCACGGCGATGCTCCCCTGAGTCCCTAAGCCCCATGTTTGTCCAATGGGCCTCCAACTACCACAAGAGGTACTTTTTAGATGCTGCTTCTGGGGGGTTCAGATAAGGACCAGGGAAAGCTGGGAATGGAGAAAGGATGAATATTATCACTTTCAACGGAGCTGGACTGTGCTGTCTTTCGTTATGTTGTTCCAGAGAGTCATGAAAATACAGAAAATTGTAGCCAGAAACTGCAGCCTGGTGCTGACGGCAGGGGCTCGGAGGTACAGCCAGAACAGGGCCTAAGCTCTCCCACCGACTGGCCTTGCTCTTCTCAGCGGCCCTGTGGGTCTAATGAGAGTTCCTACCTAAGGAAATGACTATGAAGATTAAATTAGATGATCCACCTTAAAGTTCATCACATAATAAGTACTTAGTATTACATATCATTTTCATTAATAAGGTCAGTATGACGCTCTTTTTCCAGATTGAAGAACTCAGGATTCAGAACTGCAACATAATGCATGTTTTTAAGAAAACGAATATCTACGGAGTACCTACTCTAAGCGGGCACTGTGCTTAATGACTAATAGCCACAATAATCCCGCCAAGTCAGCATGTTATTATCTCCACTTTATAAATGAAGAAGGGGGTAGGCGTGGGAGGGGGGCGGCGGCGGCATGGTACGGCCACTTAATACTAAAATCGCTGATTTTTGAGATGCCCTGGTATTCTGGCTAACTGGTCTAATACATCAAGCTGCTACATTTCTTTCTTCCTTTCTTTCTTCCTTTCTTTCTTCCTTCCTTCCTTCCTTCCTTCCTTCCTTCCTTCCTTCCTTCCTTCCTTCCTTCCTTTCTTTCTTTCTTTCTTCCTTTCTTTCTTTCTACTGGTCTAATACATCAAGCTGCTACATTTCTTCCTTCCTTCCTTCCTTCCTTCCTTCCTTCCTTCCTTCCTTCCTTCCTTCCTTCCTTCCTTTTTTAATATATTTTTCTTGATTTCTGAGAGGAAGGGAAGGGAGAAGGAGAGCTAGAAATGTCAATGATGAAAGAATCATTGATCGGCTGCCTCCTGCATGCCCAACACTGGGGATTGAGCCCACAACCCAGGCATGTGCCCTGACTGGGAATTGAATCATGACCTCCTGGTTCATAGGTCGACACAGCCACTGAGCCACACTGGCCAGGCAAGCTGCTGCATTTCTTAGCAATGGTTATTCAAATGCCTGAAAGAAAACTGTTCAATTTCTTTTCACTCGCATTCACAGGGTTAACATATGTTGAGGAACAGAACTGCCAATAATGGTACATGTATTTATCCTAAGCATAATAAATTCTGCAAGAGCTAACATCTGTATACATGAGACATATCAAAATGTCACAATGTTTGCATTTGACGTTGCGGTTCCCACGGAGAAGCAATTCCTGGTGGGCCCCCAACCCCGCTAGCTACCCCTCAACTGACCTCATTCGTTCTCTTCAATTTATGGTGTTTATCCGCATTCACATCACTAACTTCCAGACAGCCTTGATGAATCCATTTCCCTAATCCTGTAAGCACACCCTGGACTGTGCCCTGGATTTTCTTTGCTTTTCACAGAAGAGCTCATTTCTATTCCTCAGGGGGACAGGAAGCCTTCCCAGCCTACGACTGTGGAAGCTGTTCAACGCCAGCTACTCTGGCAAGCAACAGACTCAGATGGGATGAAAAGTAAGCATTTCTCACCAGAGAGAACCAGTTCTAATGGCAAGAGCCAATGCTCCAGCTGCCACTGGGAAGTGTGTACCAAGACTGTGTGGAGACAGTTAGCGACGTCTGATTGAATAGTTTCCATCTCTCTAAGAAAGCAGGGTAGGTTTCAGGATTGCAGATGGCTGGGTAGAATGTTAATGAGAGGTAGCTGACTAAATACCACACTGGGCTGAATGCTTCACATGGGTTAGCCCACTTACTCCACAATGATAACAGGAGATACACCAATTTTTCAAAGAAACGAAGGCTTAAAGAAGTTCTGAGAAATACCTGGGAAAGGCGAACCTTTTGAGAAAAGGTAGAGACGGGAGGTAGATTGGTGGCTGGGAGTGGGAACATGGTGACTGCAAACGAGCAAGAGGTTTCCTTTGGGAGCAACACAAACGTTCTAAAATGAGATGGTGGTGAAGGTTGCATAACTGCATACATTTACTGAAAATCGCTGAGTTGTACTTAAAATAAGTGGGTTTTATTATTTGTAAATGATATACCAATAAAGTTCATATAAATGATACCTCCATAAATAAGAGAGTTTATAAAACTCACCGAAGGTCACACAACTAATGAAGGCCCAACGTGGGCATGAAGCCAGTGATCTGACAGCGGAGTCCATGGCCTATGCTCGTACCCCATGGTCTCGGAACTCTCTGAACACATCATTAGATAAGTCATAAGCTGCCTGCGTGCCTGTGGCTATATATAGGGTCACCCTATAATTTACCATTCCAGCTGGCACACTTTGGAGAGTGGCAGTTGTAAAAATTTTCGCCAGGACAATAGGTGTAAAACCGGGCCTGTGGTGGATATATTGGGACATATCAGTACATATAATTTGAAAGTATATCAAGCATCTAGTTTCATACCATTGTGGTATGAAACTAGAACCCAATTACAAGAAAAACACCTGAAAAACACACAAACACATGGAGGCTAAATAATATTTATACTAAACAATGAATGAGTTAACAATGAGATCAAGGACAAAATCAAAACATACCTTGAGACAAATGAAAATGAAAACACAACAACCCCAAATCGATGGGTGTTCATAAGAAAAGATTTACTAATTAAAGCTCAGAAGGAATTCTCTTGCAGGAGGGAGGTACAGGATGGGCGTCAACCTGGAAAACCAATGAGGCTTTAGCAAAGTGGGCCAGGAGCGAATCATGCTGGATGATGCTAAAGGCCAGTAAGGGTTCTGGGAAGGAGCTGGTGTGTAGCCTGAGCCAATAGGGCCTCCACATTTTAATACAGATGGAGATCAAAATGGCCAGGGCAATGGCCCTCCATCCTGTCTGCTGAGGCTCAATGGCACACCTATGGGAATCTCATGATCCTCCAAACTTGTGAAAGCTCGCTAATTTACATCAATGTACCATGACTGTCTTCATCCCCAGAACAGGTGGAAATAAGACACATAGAATGGTTAGTAGGGATAGGAACTGTTTAAATACCACTCATACCCCCCCACACACACACACACAGGAGAGAAGTGGTCCCTGCAAAGCAAAAAAGCACAGGCCCCTGGGGTAGGGAGTATGGGTGGCTAGAGGACAGGAGCAGTATGCATGAGTTATGAGAGATAAAGCTGGAAATATATGAGTTAAGACCAAACTAGTTCATGGTGAAGGCCTGGAGGGGGGGTGGGGGGAGCCTAGAAGAGGTCCATGGGGGGAAAGGGGGACATATATAATACTTTCAACAATAAAGATGAAAATATAATGATAATAATAAAAATAACATTTTTTTAAAAACACCAAACTAGTTCAGGATAACCTGCGGGCAACATTTGCCTTCCCTCAGAGAGGCACTATGGAAGCATATTTATGACACAGGACTAGAGCAAGACGGCTGAGTTCTGACTCCAGTTCAAATCTTGAACAAGCCACTTAACCTTTCCATAGATTCATTTCCATACATACAGGTAAAAAAAAAAAAAGTATAATCACAGCACCTGACATTAGGGATGATGTGAGGACTCAGTACCTGCAAAGACTTAAACAGTGCTTGGAACATTAGAAAGCATGAAATGTATTCGCTGTTACAATAGTTATTATTAATTCTGCAATCAGCAATGCCACTGAAACGGGAGCGATAAGATCATAGCCTCGCGGGTGTTTGATTGGGCTGCAATGTGTAGGAGGAAAGCTGGGAAACTAGTTAAGAGGTCACTGCAATTCTAGGTGAGAAGTGCCATCCACAGTGACAAACATAGAGGCGAGTAAAGGGAAAGGAAACGGGCCCTATGTCAGATATGTCTGCACAATCCAATGGACAAACCTTGGCAAGCGCCTGGATGCGGCTGGTAAAGGAAAACGGAATAATCTGAGAGAAGATAAATGCATCTTGTCTGAAAACTTGTGCAATTTTGCACCAAGGTAACTGTTGAAATTTCCCTAGGAAATGAATTCCGTCTGCTCTACACTGTGAACTTGCTCACCTTGCTACACCCAGTGGTATATGTAGCAAGACATCCAGAGCGCCTCCCTGCTCTAACACTATAATACTCTGGTCCTCTGCCAAGAAACCTGGATTTCACGTACCTTGCCTAAGGATGACCTTTAACCTGCTTGTCATGAACTGCTATTACACAGGGCAATTGATGACAGGGCTCAGGTGCAATATGATCCTCCCACCTGGATGGCGACTTGTTCCAAAGGCCTGCAGGGCCGCTGGAGACCTGCTTAATGACCAACTCCATTCCTCCCAGGCCTTCTGTGAACCTTTCCCTCTGAAGCTTCAGACTCAAGTTAATAAGTGCAACGTACAAGGAAGAGGCAGCAGCCAAAAGAAGCAGGTCACTGGAATGGCTAGAGTAGATAGTAAGTTCCTCCTCAGCGACACTCCTCTCCCACACACCAGCCACCCTGCACATCCAGTCTCTGAAAAGTCGTGTTTTTTTCCACCTGGATTCAACCCGGGGATATTCCCCACATACACACACCACTGGCACCCACTCCGGAGGTGCATGAGGCTACGAATCAGCAGACCCACGTTTTAACTTGACAGTTAACTTCTCACAAACCACACCCCCGTGGGGCCTCAGACCTAAGGCTGAATTCTGATGACCTCCCCTCTCCCCGAAACGGGACAAAGTCAGCTGGAGGCACCGCCCCGGCGCTCGCTCCTCCCAGCTCCAAAAGACCCGCCCGGGTCCGGACTTCCGCGGCTGCAGCCCCCGGCTCCCCCGGGAAGGCTGGCCCTGGCACGCGGCAGCCCCGCAGTCCTCCAGCAGGCAGGCCGCTACCTGGTCCAGCAGCCGGTAGATGCTGATGCCCAGGGTCTCCATCATTAGCTGCCATTCGGCCCCGGCCAGCGCGGGCTGCTGGAGCTCGGCACAGGCCTCCCGGAACTGCTCCTGGGAGAAGCCACTGGCCAGAGCCGGGTCCATCCTTCCGCAGCCAGGGCTCCTCCGCCAGCGGGAGAGACCGTCCGAGGCAGGATGTAGGTTCGGGGGCGGGGCGGAAGGGTGGCCCAGCGTGATTGGCAGGGGACAGAGAAGTAATGGAGGGGAAGGCGGGACTTGGTGGGGGGGAGGAGTCTAGGATGGGGCGGGGCCATGGAGGGGCGGGTCTATAGGAGTGGGCGGGGCTGAGCAAGAGGCGAAGGAGGCTAGAAAAAAATGAGAAAAATTGGATTTGAGCTAGGGAAAGATGGGAGGGCTATGAAAATGGGGGCTTATTTATAGACGGAAGGAAGACACTAATGTCATCTCAGAAACATCCCCTGAGTAGCCATCCCATACTCCTTGAAAATCTCAGGGGTCAGATGCTAGAACTATATATTTCAATATAATTTCTATTCTTCCTGTTACGCATTTTATTTATTTTTATTTTTTTAATATTTTTTTTATTGATTTCATAGAGGAAGGGAGAAGGAGAGATAGAAACATCAATGATGAGAGAGAATCATTGATCGGCTGCCTCCAGCACGCCCCTTACTGGGGATCGAGCCCGCAACCCAGGCATGTGCCCTTGGCCAGAATTGAACCTGGGACCCTTCAGTCCGCAGGCTGACGCTTTATCCACTGAGCCAAGCTGGCTAGGGCCCTGTTACGCATTTTAAAACATTATTCTGAGAAGAGGTCCATGGGATTCTCCAGAAGGCCAAAGGGATTTATTCCACAAAAGGGGTCAAGAAATCTAATCTCTAGGGGGTCCCCCAAAATATATATACACATATTTTGAATAATTATAAAGGCAATGTTTATGAAAATACATTTCATTATCAAAATTGAGCTATTAGCTGTCAAAGTGTGTATACATTTTGGGGGGCCACCCTGTATATTGGATCTACAAGGTAATTTGCCTGCCTAGAGGGTGAAAGATGATCTAAAAGTTATTATTGTAAGATCCAGAGACCTAGAAGCATGGAACAGACTGTGGAATCTCAGAGGGAAGGCGGGGTGGGTGGGAAGAGATCAACAAAAGAACTTGTATGCATATATGTCTAACCCGTGCACACAGACAATAGGGTGGTGGAGGCCTGGGGGTGGGGATGGGGGCCGCTAGAAGAGCTCAAAGGGAGGAAATAGGGGACATATGTAATACTTTCAACAACAAAGATTTTAAAAATAAAATAAATAAAAGTTATTATGTGTCCACCAAGGATTTCTGCATTTTGCATAAATTTAGACTTTTTGCAACTCAAGGACCTTTTTGTTCTCTCAGGTCCCTTGGGTATTACTATCGTTCTTACCACCTGACTATACTTGGCTTTGAATAAAGTAGGCAGTTTAAACATCAAAACAGTATAACGCCTCATTAGTGCCAATAACCTCTGGGAACCCGTGTTTCCTCATCTGTAAAATGGGGTAAGAATTGTGCAACCAGTTAGACTTGAGGCGGTACCTACATGAAATAAACATAAAACATGTAATGAAAGCTCTGACATAAAATGTTCTCGCCAAAGTGTAAACAATGGTTTGATAAACAACTAGAAAAGACCTAGTAAGTTTGAGGATACACAAAACCCCCTGTTGTGACTGAGTGATTGATCAGTGGTGTGTTGTGTGTTTTTTTATTGGAGTACTAAAAGCATATCTGTTCTTATTTACTAGTAAAAGCTACTAAACACCAAGGAAGTGAGACGTGGTTGAAACATGGTATCATAGATAAAACATCTGGGTAAAAATCAGCATTCTAACTTTCTCTAGGCATGTTGTTCATGGTATAGAACTAATTTGGTTGGTGGATTTCCGAGATAAAGTCATGATTACAAAAACTAGCTTTGCAGTCTGAGTTCTAGTCACTTTAAGAACCAGGCAAATCACTTTAATTTTCTTAAATGATTTTTTATTTTTCAGTTGCAGTTTACGTACAAATCTTATTTATTTTTAAACAAAAACTGTTTACTCAACAGTGACAGAAAAATACTAGTATCTATCTCAAGGATTTGCTGGAGGAATATGAAAGTAATACAAACAAAAGCACAATGTAAAGTGAAAGTGAACGCTTGTAAATGTATTGTCTCAATAGGTAGCTCCAGACTGCTGCTCACGTGGTTTTAACCTGCTTCTTTGGCTGTCCACATCATTCAGTTTTGTTCTATTCAACTCCTACTGCTGAATGTCTGCTCCTGCTAAAATGCTTAAGGGTTTTATCTTGCTGGGACAATGGAGACCCAAGAGGGCGATTTCACTGTCACTGGGCTCCAAAGCTTGTAAAATAATAACCTGTAAGTCGGTTAATGATAGTTTAAGCCGGCAGAGTACTCATTATGAACCAGAAACTATGCTAAGTGTTTTCATCTAATCCTCACACTACCACTCTGAAATCAGTTCTTTTATAATCTCCAGATTGCACATGAAAAAACTGAACTTTGGAGAAGTGATGTCACTTGTCCAAGGTCACAATTATGTGCTTACCCAGGTCCTGGGAATCCGTGAACATAGCTTCTAACCCAACGGTTTTCACTCCTAAAAGACTTTTTATGATACAACGATGGCCATAAAACTATAAAATTTAATGCTGAAAAAGGATGTAGATATCACCTTTAGTTTATTCTCATTTATCTATTCATGTACCCATTGTTTGATATTTCTTAATCATTGATCAATATTTATCACAAGTGACTACATTAATAGATTTTAAAAAAAATTGAAGGCAACATCTGAATCTTCCTTAAGTATGAGGTTGTATGCTTTATGGCCATCACAGCTATTGTGGGGTACAAAGATGTATCAGATGCAAATTCTCGTTCTTAGTTTGCCATCTACATGAACAAAACTAATCAAATTATATTATGTATGTGTTACATATGATCTAACCCATCACTTCTATAGATAAGAGAACGGAGGCACAAAGAGATAATACCTTGGGTAATAACTGGGTGATTCAGTTCATCAAACCATGTTGTCACAGATCCATAAAGACAGAGGGTCCCTAGTGCCTTTCACCTGCTAATATGAATAAAATCAGACGTACAAAGCAGGTGTTAGGAAAGATGAGTTTATAGTTTTGCCTTGTGGGGCATCTACTCTGTGTGAACTTTATTCAATGAAACTGACATTTAAGAAAACTGCATTTGTCGGAATCCTGGAAGGGGTCAGAGAATAAAGTCATCATCCCCCTTCCTTCCAGTGAGGAGATTCCAGAGAGAGCTGGAAGTATTGGGTTACAGGTCCCTTCCGCTGCCTGACTAATCAGCAGGAGGGATCTGAGTTCAGCGCTAGGGCATTTCACACCCAGAGTCTAGGGTTTCACTTGGGCTGTGATCCCCAGACTGCAGACCTGCACTCTCCTATTCAGCAGCATAAATACTGGTGCCTCTTTTTTATTTTTTCTGGACACTTAGAACCTTCTCTTAGAGTGAAGGTCTCTGGTTTGGTCCGAAATCAAGCTGTCTTTCTCTGGGAATGTAGACTAGGCTCCTCTTGACGTTAACTGACTTTCGTGTAGACCAGTTCCATCTGGGAAAAGGACTCCCTCGGGTCCCCTTTACTCACTACCTCACTAGGGTGGTGTGTCCATGAGGACAAATCAGCTTTGTTTGCAAATTTGAAAACCTTATAATGATACTCCTCTCTTTCCTTCAAACCCTACGTATAATGAGTCAACATTTTTACTATTTCTACTGCCCACATCGCTTGACTTGGTTTACTTCTTTTCTTTTTTAGAAAATATATTTTTATTGATTTCAGAGAGGAAGGGAGAGGGAGAGGGAGATAGAAACATCAATGATGAGAGAGAATCATTGATCGACTGCCTCCTGCACGCCCCACACTGGGGATCGAGCCCACAATCCAGGCACGTGCCCTGACCAGAAATCAAACCGTGACCTCCTGGTTCATAGGTCGACGCTCAACCACTGAGCCACACCGAGGGGGCTTGTTTACTTCTTTCTATCTGCACTGCTCACCCTCACCGAAGCCACCATCACCGTCCCCTTGACTGCCCAGTGACTTTCCAACTGGTTGGTCTCCCTGCTGGAATCCATTCCCCACACAGACAGAACTGTGTTAAAAATGTCAAATGTCACTCCCCTCTTTAGAATAAGAGTTCACAGGCTTCACATTGCATTAAATAACATTCAAACTCCTCACCCCAGCCTACAAAGTCATGCCATCCTACTGGCTCTTCATGACTTTCTATCCCCACCCTCTCCACCCTCCCCTCACTCACTAGGCTCCAGCTAAGCGCTTCTTCACCTCAGAAACATGGCCCTCCTGTGTTCTCTGCTTCAACTGCTCTCCGCAGGCTCTTCACTCATTTTTGTCCTTCTGGTATCAGCCGGAATCTTCCTTCCAAGGACTCTCCTCTTTTATTTGCTATCTCAGCCTTTTGTTTATTTTCCTGTGTAAAAATTGATTGCCACTTGTGATTGGATCTGTGCCCCAGTGGGGGCAGGAGGAAACATAAGAAGTAAACTAGTAATGTGAATTGCTTTCTAGCACTGATCTTGATCTTGTAATTAGTTGAGCATTTGTCTCCTCATCAGAGCGTAAGGTTCAATAGCAAAGACCTGTCCATCCCT